CATTCCTGGCCATTTTTCTCCCCAGACCAGAAACTGAGAAGGTTTCTCCACTTCCCTTCTCACAGTCTCCCCATCTGTCGGTGCAGAGCTGCTGGCACAGCTGCTCCCCAGGGGTGGAGAGTGGGGCGCAGGGGCATCGCAGCGACGGAGTGCCCCCCCCCCGTCCCCTCACGCCTTCTGATGCCTGCCTCCCCCACTGAGGCGTGAATGGAGCCCCGGAGGGCAGGTCTTCACCGGGTTCCGCGAGGGCCTGGCTCACAGTTGGCCCTGGCATGTGAAGCCTCGAGTGAACAGATGCCTCTTGGGGCCTTTCCTCGGCAGGTGTGGGGTGCCTGCTGTCTGGAAAGAGCCCAGAGCTGTAGGCCCAGCCCCCATCCCAGGGAGCCGAGGGAGGCTGCGTTCCTCCCATTCCTGGGCCTGCAAGAGGCACATTCCTGTCCCCGGATCTGGTCGGGCTCCTGCCACGCAGCCCAGTCTAATTGCCAGACGCAGAAGGCCTCCCTGGAGCTGCCCTCTGGTCCTGCCCCCAACGGGACCCCGCGGGTCCCCTCTGTCGTCTGAGGGTGGGAAGCCGGGAGCACTGAGTGCGTCTGAACCCTTCCAGACGCGCCCGGGCCCTCTGGTGATCAATGAAAACCTTAACATCCTGCTTCCAGGCTGGAGCCAGGGATTTGAAAAGTCAGTGCAGACGCTCCTGGGCCCCGGGGTCTGCCGGCCACACTGTGTGGAAACGCCGGCCTCAGCACTTTTCTGGGAGGAACGTGGAGTCAGCAGGCAGCCCGGGAACCAGGTGCCCACAGGGCCCCGCCAGGAGCCCAGAGACCAAGCGCCCCAGGTGCCGGGCTCTGGGAACCCCGGGCTGGTGGGGAAAGCAGACACAGAGGAACAAAGAAGCTGCAAGAGGGTATAACGCAAGGTCGGCAAAACTCTGGAAAAGGCCAGGTAGTGAATGTTTTAGGCTTTGCAGGCCGTGGGGTCTCTGTCCCAACCTCAGCTCTGCTGTCGTAGTGAGCAAGCCACCAACGTGCCCACGGCTGCGTGTGGCTGTGCTCCGATACCAACCAGGGTGGGCTGCGTTAGGGCCAAGGTGTGCTCCTTGCCCACGGTGTAACGGGGGGCCTGACCTGGGGGGCGGGGGTGGGGCTGGGTGGAGGAAAGGCTTCCCTGGGGCCATGATGTTTTGCTAAAACCTGAGGAGTGATTCAGGTGACAGAGGCAGAATCATAATATTGACAATAATATCATCATCCTAATAAAGTTACACTTGATGAGTGTGGTCCATGAGTCAGGGACTTGCTAAGTGTTTTACACACACGTGACCTCAGTAAATTTGCACAGCTCTCTGTGGGAGGTATGATTATGCCCGCTTTACAGATGGAGAAATTGAGGCTTGGCGGGTATGTGGGGTGTTCTGTCTGACCCTTCAGATGCATTCTTCGCCCTGCTTGGTGCCTGTGGGAGGCTGACCCCCGAGAGGCATCTCTTTGCTCCCTCACCCAGGCCTCCAACTGGGTTTGGCCCATGGAAGGCTCTGGCAGCAGACGGGGTGGGAGGGCAGAGGAGAGAGAGGTCAGCGCATTTTTTCTCCCCCCTCCTTCCTGCTTCACCCTCCGATACCACAGCTCCTGCCAAGCTGACTGTCCTCTGCGACTTAGCTTGCCAGAGTCGGTAACATTTTTCCCCACCAGGTCCTTCAGCCTAGAGGCGCTGGGGGCCTCGCTATCCTTTGTGTGAAGTATTTATTCCTACTGCCATTTCACCTTCATTAAGTTTCTTCCTGTGAGTCATCCGGGGGCAGTTCTGTTTCCTGCCAGGATTTTCTGACTGATGCTTGAGGTTAGCTAACTTGCTGGCTTCTGGTTTCACATGGCTAATGCACAACGGAGCAGGTGGAGGTGATGGCGGATGGGATGGAAGGAGAGTCCGGCTGAACCTTGAGGAGGCTGGACTGGCGGCGGGGTCCCCGCGCCAGTACTGGTTTCCATCATAGGCAGGCAGGGGTCAAAAGTGAAAGCAGCTCCTCCTTTCTGGCCCCGGGCTCAGTGAGTGGTCCAGTCCTGGAGACCCCCAACTGGCAGTGTTAGTCTTCCGCGTCTGGCTCCTGTTTCCAACCTGGGGCACGGGGAGATGAATCTTCCAGCATGTCTGGAGGGTAGAAAGTGTGGTGGTGGGCACTTGTTAGCACCTGGGGAAGGCCAGAGTTGTATGTGGTCGTCCTGTTAAGGTGTATTACCCAGATAGGGTGCAGAGGCCTCTTACTCAAAACTAATCTGGAGGGGACTCAGAAGGGCAGAACACTTTGCATTTGAACCCACTCTCCGGCTCCAGAATTCTGGCATTCTCTCCTGAAGAAATAGTCTTGAGTGGTTAGCCTTTCCTATTGCTCCTCCTGTGGCCCTAAACGACTGCTTTAGAATCCTGCTGCTACTTCCTACATCCCTCTGATGAAATCCCTGCCCCCTGTCCACCCCCTACCCAAGGTCAGGTGTAGCTGAGCATCCGGAAGGAACACGGCCGACTGAGCGGGGAAGGTTCTAGAACAGGGGCAGAGCTGAGAAGGCAGAGAAAGACCAGTGCCAGGAGCTTCCCTTCTGGTCACCTCTGCTGGTGGGTCATCTGCAACGTGTGGAAGGCAGTGGATGTGGGAGGAGACTGCAAAAGATATTTTCATATTAGGCTCATGGAACACTGTGAAAATCAAGCTCAGGCCAGCACTCTGACTGTCTCTTGAGGTGTGGACAGCAGCACTCCCAAGGCTGTGTAGATCAACCAGTGTCTCCCTCTGCTAAGTTACTGGGGGACACCCTCCGCCCCGGCCCCAGGAGGGACTAGGGACAGGGTCCAACCTGCACAATGGAGCCAGGAGAGGCTGGGAAAGGCAAGGAGCCTAGAGAAAACCCTCAGGGCAGAGGCCTTGTTTGGGAGGGCTAGTGGGAGGCTGCATACACCTCCCTTGTGGCTCTGCGGTCCTGGGCCAGCAGCACTGCTGCACTGGCCTGGCTCCAGAAAGGAGAAAGAGTGGCTTGAGACATCGACAGGCTGGGGGTAGCACGACACCAGGCAGCAGCCTGCGACAGCCACCCCCTCACCAAACACTCACTGCCTGTCAGACTCTACACTGCGTGCCTTCTGAATATCATTTCAATTTTGATGTTCCAGCGACTCTGGGATGGACGACTTATTATCCCCATCTTATGGGTAAGGAAACTGAGGCCCAGAGGGCATGAAGTGGCTTGTCCAAGACTGCCATGGCCTAGAACCCAGGTTGGTGTCACCCAAGCTCAAACCAGGAGGAGGAAATACAGTCAGACCCCCGCCCCCAATCCGGTCCCTCCCCAGGCAGCAGCAGAGCTCAGTCCCAGTGACGAGAGTTGGCTGGAATACGGATAAAAGGAAACTTACAGACATGACTCTGAAGCAGCTAACACCGCGTGCACACGTGGGCAGAGGGCTGTAAAGTGTGACCCTGCCCGGGTGGCACAGCCCTGCAAAGTGAGAGCTAGTATCACCTCCATCTTGTGGATGAGGCCAGTGAGGATCAGAGAGGTAAAGTGACAAAGCTGGAAACGGCACAGCTTGGATTTGACTTCAAAGCCTGGGCCCCTAATCTCTAGGGAACACTGTCAATATGTCAATAAAACTGATGCCCGAGGAAGGCGAGCCGTCTGTGTGTGGTGGGAAATACCCCAGGCATCCCGCACACCCTTCCGGGGCTTGTCAACCCGAGCCTGGCGGTCGGCCCGATGACAAGGGTCCAGGTGACTGGGAGAAGGTGCTGGGGTTTTCTCTACCCTGTGCATGCTCCCGGCTTGGGGTTCTGACCTTGCCTGTCTTAGGTCTCAGGCTCTTCCAGGGAGCCCCAGCCCAGAGGGGCCCCATGTGATCCGAAGCCTGGGCAGGCTGTGAGCAGGGACGCTGAGTCTGCCAGCCTGCAAACTGGACTCTGGCCTTTGGCTCCACAGGAAAGACCAACCCTGGCAGCCATGTTAGGGCTACTGGGGAGTCTGCCCCCACTTGAGGTGGCTACGATACCTGCAAGATCTTCCTTGGAAGAGACTAGTCTCGGGGAGCTGCTTCCTGGCTCAATTCTGAGCGACAGTCTGAAAACAAAGATTTTCAAAAGATTAGATGGGCTCTGGTGTGTCAGGGGGTGGGGAGCGGAAGCTAACATGTGCACTCTTGGAACTGAGAAGCTGGACTGCTGTTAAGGGCTGTTAAAGTCACAGAACCCAGGAATACTCTGAGGTCTGCTCCAGATCACAGCCACTTCCTTCCAATGTCCCCAGGGGATTTCCATGACCAAAAGATAATGGTTAAGGAAGACACAGTAAACAGTGTAATCATGGCCCATCATCTGCCGGGCACAGATGGCACAGTCTTCATTCTCAAGACAACGCTATCAACTGGGAACACCAGCCCCGTCTTGCAGAGGAAGAAACTGAGGAGCATCGAAGTCAAGCAGCTTCCCCAGGATTCACAGGGCTAACAGGTGGCCGAGCAGGGGTCCAGGGCTCTCTGACCCCAAACCCCAAACCAGGGCGTTTAATCATTAGACTGCGGTCTCTCTCAGATGCCCCCAGAGAGGCCTGACGCAATGGTTATTACTATTTTTTAAAAGCATCGATTAAGAACTTCTGGGTGAAAATGACAAGAGTGAAGCCGGCTGCCAGACTTCTCCCTCACCCAACAAAACGAACAAACAATTATAAAGGCTCAGGAGTAAAAGAACTCACCAGCTGCTACTCAGCAAGGGAGGGGGTATAAACTGAAGCCATGAACTTCAGAAACTTGTAGCCAAGAAAAGAAAAAGTGGATCCTGCAGTCTAACCAAGAGTCCTAACACGGTGCGGCTCCTATCCTGCCCTCTGAGACTTCTTGGTGGGTCTGAGCGGGAGTCCTTCCCTTTCCCTTTTCTGACTGGCTGCAGATTCTGGAGCGAAACGGATGGGCCAGGTGGATAGTGTAGGGAATACTCTGATGGAAGCGAAAGCTCCATGGCGGTGGGTGGCGGGGGGATGATTCGAAACCTGAGGGTATCCTTTTCCGGAATGGGATACAGCCCGAAACTAGGTGGAGAAAACCCTGCTGTAGGCCTTTCAATAGAGCCGCTGTCTGTAAAACAGACCGCTTGCTCTCTGCCTCCATGGAGCCTGAGCCCTGCGTCCCCCCGCCGGCTGCACGAGAGGGCAGAGACTGAGAAGCCCTGGGCCTCACAGCACAGCAGGAGGCAAACCAGCCCCTCTCACACAGGGGAGCGGGGTCAGACGTCGCCTCCCTTCACGAGAGCCGTGGAATATCCAGATGAAGCCTCTCACATGGAAGCAAGATGAAAAGAAACGGTGTGGCAAACTAGCAAGTGTCCTCTCAGGAAGAAGGAAAAGAGGAAAGAAGAGAGCATTGTCCAGATTCCCCAGCCTAAAAGGCAGCCCCAAGGCGTACAAGGAAATCACCCACGTCCTTTAGAACTCGGGCTGAATAAAACAAAACCTGAAAAATGAGATGAGAACACAAACGGGTAAGATGAAAGGGGAGATTGGAGACCTAGGGGAACAAACAAATCAAGGACTGAAACAAGGGAGGACCGGAGGAATTACCAGAGTAGAAACAGACCATCCCAGTGACTGTCGATGAAGATGGAGATTATAGCCATTGGAAAGAAGCTGGTGGATCTGGAAGGCAGAGCATCCAACATATGGATCCCTGGAACGCTGGAAAGAGAAAAGCCAAGAAGGGGCACAGAAGTAGTCAAAGATAGAAACCAAAAGAACTCCTCTGTAATGAATAAAGAGCCTACCCTGTTCCAGGGAAATCTGGCACAGAACCCTCCACTCCGAGGCATTCCTCTTGTGAAGCTTTTGAACCTCAAGGAATTCTTCACCCACCAGGTAGACAAAACGAGTAGCTTATAAGAGGGAAAAACCAGACTGGCGTGAGATTTGTCTACAACAGCATCCAGTGCCAGAAGGCAGTGGAGCAGCTCTGCGTGTTCTGAGGGAGGGAAGCAAAGGAGCCCAGCAAGTCAGAGGCAAGTGTTTCCATGAAAGAGATCGGGGGACTCTTGCGAAAGTGTAGGACTTTCGAAAAACGCACTTCATGACGAAACACGGCTAAATAAGGGATTGATGTAAAATAAAGACTCCAGGACTGGAGAAGTGACAGGTGGTTAAGAATTGAAAATGTTTCGAAACACGAAATAGCAGGAATTATGATTCCTGAACATGATGTGTATGTTATAAACTTGGATGACGTAGAAATAAGAAGGTAACTCACAAGGGTTTGGAAGATGGTGCAGTGGAGGTGAAGGAGCGGGGAGCTTGCTAACGATCTCATCTTTCATGACCAGAGTCAACGGACCCTGCTCACCATGGAAATCTAGTTAAAACGGAACTTACGCACTCCAACCTCTTCATGCTTTTCCTGAAGGCCCTTTTAGGAAATAATATCTCTTGAGGTGGAGAAATATTTATTTGAAGAGCAGCAATTCCTTATGTTTTATTTCAGTTCCTTTTTCTGGTTAAATTAAATACTTTTAATTAAAAATAGCAAGTGTGCTATAATCCAATTTTAATAAATTCTATTCTTGCGTCCATCCACCTATCCATCCTCCATATATATATATATATATATATGTACTTTTATGCATAGAAAAATGTCCAAAATAATGTTCACTTGATGCCAACAGTCAGGCTTTCTAAGTGGTAGGAATTTGGGTAATTTTTCTTAAATAAAATAAAATAGACTAAAGGCTGAGGAAAACAAAGCACTGGTTGGGCTCCTTGGCCCAACGTCTCCAAAGCAGGTCGGGACAACGTCATTAAGGTAAGAGCTAAGCCTGCGTCCTCTGGGGTGGGGACCAAGTCTCGGGGGTGGGGGGTGAGTTGGGCCAGGGAGTGTGGGATGCTGAAGCAGAGTCACAAGCCCTGTGCGTCCCGTGTCACTCAGAGCCAGGGTCTTCCTGGGAAGGGACCCCCTCAGTGGTCTGGGCACGGGGCGAGAACTCAGCCTTCCTCCCTGGGTTTGTCCACTTGGACCACAACAAAGGGCCTTTGTGAAATCCAGGCATCAGGTGCTGGGGGTGTTCGATGTCCTTCAGAACGGAAGGCGTTATTACTCACAGTCTGCAGCTTGTCCAAGGATTATCTCACGGCCAGGAGTATTTATAGACCATTTTTCTCCTTAAAGGATATTAGTGTTAATGAAAAACTACTGTCTCCTTAACCGCATTATTGGCACATGAATGGGAAATATGACCCCCGATCCTAAGTGGGAATAGTTTCCCACTCCGGGGTACTCTTTTCAGGAACAGCAAATGCTTTGTAAGTAAAAATGAGCAATTTGTGGCAAAGGTAATTTTAATGGTAATCTCTGGCCTTTATTTATTGCTGTTATGATTATGTAACAGATCAAAATTTATTATATTCTATTTTAACAATATATTGTACAATAACAACTGAAGACATTATGTTTATGTTCCTAAAGATAGCCAATCATTAGAACCATGTGGGGAGCTTCGAAAAAATACAAATTTCCAGACCCTGCCCCCACCCCCCACACACCTGGATGGCTAGAAGGCTTCCTAGGTGTCTCTGATCCACAGCCAGGGCTGAGATCCACTCCTGCAGAGGTGGCAGGTGAAAAACCTTGAACAGCCATTCCCAAGGTCTTGGTGAGTGAAAAGGGGTAAACTGGGGTGTCTCTAGTGGCCACAGCTCTCTACAGTTTCCAGTGACTTTAATGAAGACCAAATCATCAAGCTGATCAAATTTTTAGACACAAAACTGGAAGAGATTTAAAAATATATTGGATAGCAGGATTCAAAGGGATCATGCATGGTTTACTGGAAGCAACCAGTAAGATGAGATTTAAAAGACTGCATGTAAAGTTGACGTTTAGGGGGGAAAATGATCAGTTACAAGACGGCTGAGACTTGCCTCCATCATATATCAGGCCATATGAAAAGTCCTGAGGCTCTTAGCTGACCTCAAGCTCAAAGTGAGCCAAGAAGACATCCAATCAATACGGCAGACAGACCCAACGTGAAAAATCTTCCTTCTGCCTCTAAATACATAGAAATGTTGGATAAATTCCCAGCTGCCACAAATGAAGAAAGAACTGAAAGCCAGAGCAGGTGAGTGGAAGATGAGGCCAAAGGGCCCACAGGGGTCTTCATGGGAACTGGGCCTATTCCACACGGGCTGCATGGGATGGAGACGGGGCCTCAGCCAGCGCCAGATGGCAAGAGTCCAGCAGCAAGCTGGGGCCCCAGGGAGCTGCCTCGTGCGTGTAACAGGCTCTCAGAGAGCTCTGTTTGGCAGCCTGGAGATGTGGCTAGAAAGCTGTCCTTCCGCTCAGCGCTGAGTGGCGGCAGTCACTGCTGACCTGGAGCACTAAGCCTGCACCACACACAGCTGTGGAGCCCAAATTCTTTCACGCTCCCCACTAGAGAAAGCCACGCTGAGAAGTTGACAGAACACCCTCATCGGCCCGGTGGCGCCTGTGGGGCTGGGGCGGGTGGGAGGAGACACTCAGCAGCCCTGCTGTGGGCTCTGTGGGGTCAGAGGTCACCTTATGCACACGTGCTGGGGGGAGGTGCCGGTGCGGCTGCGGTGGCCTCCCGTTAGCCCTGCAGCGGGCCGGGGGCACACTCACTTGTAGTTGTCGTCTTCCACAAACTTCTGGAGCTCTTCAATGTAGCGCACGGACTTCAGGTACTTCTGCACGTGGGGCAGGGTTGTGAGGTGGTCTGGAGGAGGAGGACAAAACCCAGGGGCTTCAGTCTCTCCCCATCCCCAGGCCCCCCATGAGAAGCTCCTTAGGGACTGAGACATATATTCAGTCTTTCAACAGTTGCTGATGATCCCTTAGGCTGGGCCTGTGCTGGGCCCAGAGGGGTCCCTCAGGAAGTGCCCCCCAGACGGCGGGGCCACAGACACCACACCCTGAGGTCACCACAGCTCCTTGGCTGGGGAAAGATGGGTCTTGGGGGAAAGATGGCCTCCAGCGAGGCATATGTGCCCTAAAACAGGTCTCCACTGGAGTAACTGGCCAAGCCTCCCACGCTTGCCCAACCCCGTGTGACAAGAATGCAAGAAGGAATGAACCCCATCCAGCCTGGTGTGCAGGCCCAACCCAGATCCTGGCACAGCCTGAGAGTCTGGCCCACGGGCTGGAGCTGCTGCACCCTGAGAGGAAAGGGAAGGGCCTAGACGCTTGAGCACCTGTTCTGTGCCAGGCTCTGCACCCAGTGACTTCTAGAAGCCATCTGCCTCAACCTTTGCACCTGCCTCATTTTGGGGAGTAAGATGTCAACTGCACACAGGAGGAAGCCATGGCGACTTGCCAGGTCACACTGCTGAGAAGTTTTGACCCCGGGTCACCTGTGGCCTCGGCCACACTGCCCTGTCTCTCTGTCCCGGGGTGACTGATGTCAGGTGCCCTCCCCAGACCGTCACAGTCACTGCACTCTTTCTGAGGGGGCCGTAAACCCTCCCTGATGCTCTCTGCCATTCGTTCCCCACAGGGTGGGACAGACCAGTTAAGGAGAGAGGTTGAGGCAGTGGAGGACGCTGTGGAGAGGAGTGGAGAGAGGGTGGGAAAGGGCCCTCGCTTTCCTGGGGGGCGGGCGGGTGCATCCGGGTGCCACGAGGAGCCCCTGATGGCTCTGCCTCGTAACTGTGAGACTCTCAGCAGGTCGTTCTCTTTCTCTAGGGCCTCGGTGTTCTCGTCTCTGAAATGGGGATAATGACCCCTGCTTCACGGAGCTGACGATGGGGAAGGGGCAGGGGAACATAACGGTAGTAAGAGTGAGCATTTCCTGAGCTCTAATGAAATGCTGGGGCGGGCTAAGGGCTCTGCACAGTCACGTCCCCATCTTCACTATGAGAAAATTTCAGACTTAGGACAAAGTGGCTTTTCAGGAGGCGGAGCCAAGACGTGAACCCACATCTGTCTGACCCCAAAGCTGTGTATGTAATTGCTCTGCTGGCCAGCAGGACCAGTGTCGAGGTCCTTGAGTGGAAAGGGCACCGGGAACACAGCCCCCTCCCTGTTCCTCTGGGCAGAAGGAGAGCTGGTCTGGAAGTGCGGGCGCTTGTAGGGGCGGCACTCATGAGCGGACCTTTGGCTTGTGTGGGCCCCCCTGCAGTGGCCTTACCACATGGAGGCTGTTGGTTTCTCCCACCCTACGTACTGGAGGTGGTGTTGCTCTCTTCCTTGTCCCGCTTTGCTGCTTCCAGACTTTTACTCTCCCCCGTCCTGTGAAAACCTGCTCCAAGGAGGCACACTCCTGCAGCTTGGCCACCCTCCCCCTCTCCTCTGCTGGCTTCTGCCGCCAGATGCCCTGGTCACTCAGGCCCTTTCCTGGAGGACCGGGGCACCTGGCTCCCAGTCAAGCCCCATCCCCCACCGTCCACGTGGACGGCCCATCGGCATTGCCAACAACACCTCCTCCAACCACCTCAGACGCCCACCATCACAGTCACCCTTTGGATCTGGTCACGTGTGGCAGAGCCTGGCCAGTTTTTGACCAAGTCATTTCCCTGTTCCCTCTAGGCCCGCAGCTACATTGCATTCCTGGCCTCCCTAGGCAGAAGTGATGAGCACCACGTGCAAGTCTGGTCCATAAAACCCACTCTGGTATGATTCTCTCTCCTTCTGCATCTGCCAGCTGGATGTAGAGGTCAGTGGAGGACTCGGGGCAATGGGACATGGCAGAGCCACGAGATAGAGGAGCCCAAGTACCTGAATCTGCTTGGAGGACAGCCACCCAGGAGGTGCCCACAAAGCTCTTCATGAATGAAGGACCTGGGCTCTGCCACTCATTGGACGTGTGACCTTAGACAAGTGACTACACTGTTTTCAGCCTCAGTTTCCTCATCTGTGATACAGAGATGGTAACATCTAGTTTGCACAGTCTCTGAAGATCAAACGTGCTTATAAAGGATCCAGAACGTGTTTGATACTCAAGATATCAAAATGAAGAGCTTTGTGGGGACTACCTGGTTTCTAGAGCTTTCTCACTGATAAGGTGCTGGACCCAAATTTCGGTGATGTAAGATTTCACAATTCCAACAACCAGGGGTACTAACCGTAGCTGCAGGAAACTTGTAAATCCGCAATTATTCGGAGAATATTGTTCATCTGATTGGATCTTTGTTCGTTTTCCATGATGCTGCCTGAGGCAGGATATGCAGAATCAATGTAGATTAAATCCAGAAGATAGATGCCTAAAATTAAGGAAGATATTTAATGATGGTAGGTGTTCACCATAAATCAGAACAAAATGGCACAAAACAGAACTGCTGTGCTAGAAGGTATAGGGTGACATGGAAAAATGTGGTATGATTTGGACTTCAATTCCAATCCTGACTACTAACTCTTCACACAGACTACTCAGCTTTAAATCAAACATCTGAGCAACGACCAAAATGAATGCTGGCAAGATTTTAGCATTTCTAGTTCATACACTCTCCAGCAACAAGGGTTATTACCTGTAACCCAACTGGAAAATAACAGGACACGAAAGGGATGAATGAATGCTTGTGTTTTTTACCAACCACTGCAGTTTAATAGGTCTAAGGTGTCATATCCAGGAGAACACTGTCTGAATTCAGTTTTTCATTTATTCACTTAGCTGTGTGTCTACTTGTTTATCTTTCTGTCCATAGATACACATACACACACCCCAAATCATAAATTAAAGAACAAAAGAAGAGGGCTTCCCTGGTGGCGCAGTGGTTGAGACTCTGCCTGCTGATGCAGGGGACGCGGGTTCGTGCCCCAGTCCGGGAGGATCCCACATGCCGCGGAGCGGCTGGGCCCGTGAGCCATGGCCGCTGAGCCTGCGCGTCCAGAGCCTGTGCTCCACAACGGGAGAGGCCACAACAGTGAGAGGCCCGCGTACCGAAAATAAAAAAAGAACAGAAGAAGAAATCGAAAAAGCAACCATCCTTGGTACAAAGAGCTAAGGCTAGACAGAGAATTCTGCTGAGGGTGCTTAATAAGAAAATAACGTGTGATATGAAAACACTGCTGTGATAGGCCAGGGTGGAGCCTCAGCATGGTCTCATGGCATCACCCCAGGGGGAATTCGGGACAAGCCACCTGGCCAGGGATGAGAAAACAGGACTGGCTGTGTGGTGTGGCCCAACTGACTGGCTTGCTGCAGGGTTGCACTTTAGTCTCTCTGGAGACGTGCATGGACAACGGATGACATATTCTTCCAGCAGCCCCCCATGAGTACTGCCACTACACCATTAATATTGGTGGAGTTGAGCAGGAGTAGTGATGTAAAGTAGAATTTAAGGCAGAAAACATTGAACAAGGCAAAGAGGAGTGATTGATATTAATGAAAGGCACAGTGGATTGAGAAGATCTAATGATTACTAACTTCTATGCATAAAGCAACATTGCACCAAAATATACAAAGCAAAAAAGTGCCAAAAATGAAAAGTGGATTCAAGAAAGCCACAAACGTGGAGGAAGCCTTTGGTATGTCTCTTCGAGAATTTGTGTGTGTGTGTGTGTGTGTGTGTGTGTGTGTGTGTGTGTGTGCGTGCGTGCACACATATGTATGTACATACAAAAATATACACATATACATACATGCATCTACAGATATACATATGTATGTGTCCATATATAAATGTAGTAATTAAGTAACAAAATTAACAAGCTTGGTGTTATATAAATAAAAATATAATTCTTTTTAAATACTCATGGAATGCTTACAAACACTGATTATATGCTAGCCTATAAAAAAAAGCTCAGTAAGCTCCAAAAAGTAAATGTCATATTATCTGCTCTCTTTGACCTTACAGTACATCTAGGATTTAACAATAAATATAGAAAAAATTCTAACTGTTTGTTAAACACACACACACAAACACACACACACTCATAAGCAACTCTCAGGTCAAAGAAAAAACAAAAAAATCTAAAATAAGAAATCTATTCAAAGACAATGACAATAAGAACACTACATATCAAAATTGATGGGATCAGACCAAAGTGGTAATCAGAGGAAAATTTATAGCCTTGAAAGTTTACTATTAAACTACTAAGAATGATAACAAATGTAATTAACCAGGTACTTAATATTAAAGCTGTAGGTTTTCTGCATGGCTGGACAAGCACTGTGCTGACTTACGCATTCATTATGTTATTTGTTCTTATAAAACCCATTTTACAGAGGAGGAAAAGGAAATGCACAGAGGATGTTTAACTCGCTCCAGGTCACATAGCCGGTAAATGATGGGGATGGGAGCTGAACCCAAGCCTGCCTCCGCAGAGTACATGCTTCCTGCCACTGCAGTGGACTGCTGGTGCTGGATACCATGAGTCATTCGTCTGCTTTTAAAATAGCTACACATTTTTACGGGAAACTGTTAATCACAGAAACATATGCTAGCACTTCTCATAGGAATCATTTCCACTTCCCTTCTTTTTAGAGGCACCATGTTTCCAAAATTTTAAAAATTAGAAGTCATTTCCCTTGTATAGAAGCTCCAAGTTTGGAACATTTAAGTCCACAGATTTATTACTTCTTGACCTTGTTTTTCCTCTCCCCTCTTAAAAATGTAACTCAGCTACCTCCCCAAGGATTCAGCAATGGCAATCCCGAAAATTCCATTAACGCTTCAACCACAACAAAAAGTACCCCCTAGTGCTGAGCGTGAGGTGAGGGGATAAGGGACACGAGGCAGCTTTGTTCCAGAGGCCAACGTTGTGCAGACCCGAATGCAGCTGGCTCTGAGCAGCAGAGTGAACCTCAGCCCGGGAGCAGGGTCACCAAGGAGCAGGATATGGGAAATGGGAGAGAACTAACGCTTCCTGGGATTTGCTACAAGACGGGAACCTCCTCCTCTCCTCTCCTGTGGTCCTCCCATCGACCCCATGGGGAGGTTGAGGAGAAAACTAACGTTCAGAGAGATTAAGCAATGAGCCTGAGGCCTCACAGCGAGTGTGTTGGATTTGAACCCACGTCTGTCTGGCTCCAGTGCCTGTTCCGACCCACTCACCGGACATGAGAAACACACGAGGAATCAGTTGCCTTTTCTCAAATAACACCCCCGGCATGGAAGGCTCACCCTCCTCTGCACTGTGAGGACCGGGGCTGGCCCCTCTGCATCCTCTCAGGTCCTGGCTCTGCAAACAGAGGCCAGGAGAAGCTCGCCTTCGAAGGGGCCGAACACCATTTCCACCCCAGCTGCTGCCTGTCCCCTCGGGGCATGGGGAGCTCACTACTTATAAGAGCAAACCCCACTGTAGAGTGTTCATCACCCTCCTCCACAAAACACCTATCTGTTCCCCTGACCTGAGAGTCCAGGCCAGGGCCACCACATGTGAGGACGGAGGGGACCTCCCAAAGAAGGCCTCCTGGCCCTGGCGGCCAGGGCAGACCCCAAGCCTCAGCAACACCTGGGCAGAATTCCCATATGAACAGCCTGTCACTCCCAAAGCAGCAAATCTACAGGTAATACTGCACAAATCCAGAGAAATCTTCCCAGTATTGTCATTAGCCTGTAACTGGAAATATTTAAAAGCCTAAACCGTGATGAAATCATCAGAATAGCCACCTCCCACTTGTACTGGGCCAGAGCAGTGCGAAGCCTGACACACAGCACTCACCACAGCCACCATTAGATACTTACTGGCCTTGTTCATGTATCTACTGTCTGATTCCCCCATCAGACTTTATTAAAACCCCTCTGAGGAGGAAGTGTCCTGTTCCACAAGCTCAACCCCAGCAGCTGGAACAGAGCACACAGGAGCTGCTTGGTGAACATCAGTTGAAAGAAGGAAGGTATGAATGAAGGCATACTTTAGTCCACAAAATAACCTTACAAAGTACCTCATTACCCTCATTTCGGAGCTGAAGAAAGAGACACGGAGAGTCAAGTGATGCTTATAATAAGACTGAGCACTTACTGTGTTCCAGGTCCTAAACTAAGAGCTTTGCCCTCTTTGTTGATTTGCCATAACCATGCTGTTATCAGGGAGGTTTTATCTCTACTTTACAGAGAAAGAGGTTGAAGCTGAGAGTGCTGCATCGCTTGTCTGAGGTCACACAGCTGGGAAGTGGCAGAGGCAAGATTTGAACACAGGTCAGTCCAGGCTGCCATACTGTCAAGTCCTTCTTTGACCCCAGCTAGATCCCCTGGAGCCTGGCAGCTGGTGAGGCAGGTTGGGGCACAGCTGACCCCACAGGCATCCAGGCCATGGCTCTCCCTGCTTGACACCCCCTTGGGGTCAACATTCTCCAGGAGGGCTGACGACTACACGGTGGCTGCACCGTCCACCTCGTCCCCGCGGCCTCCCTGGCACCCATTGTGACACATCTGTCCCAGGTCCCATCGTCAGCGGGCCCACCATGGCCTGGGGGCCCTGCCAGCTCTGGCCCGTGACACACAGCTGTGGTGGAAGTGGGAGAGTGTGGGGCTTGGAGCCAGGAGCCTTGGAACACTGGCTCTGCTGCCTACCAGCTGGGTGGCCTCAGGCAAGCCTTTTTGCCTCCCGGGACCTGTGTTTCCTTGACTGTGACTGGGGATAATGATGGTGATTGTGAAGTCTCCCGGCCCAGGGCCTGGACCACTGAGGTGCCCGTGAAGCTGAGCTGACCCTGAGCCTCGCTCCATGGCGAGGCCCCACTTGGAACTGGAGCGGGACGCCCGTGGGAGAGACGCACCCAGCCGGGTTTGCCATAACTGTGGATGGCGCCCAGATGCTGACCACGTGTGGCCACCTACCTCAGACGACCAGCTCTGGGAACTTCTCTCTGGATTGAGACAGCACAGCTGGGATGTCTCAGCTCCCTTCCTTTTACACAGCGTCACTGCGGCAAAAGACACCGTGTTGTTGGCCTTGTCAAGACGGACAGTAACTGGACCAGCTACTGGCCCTGGCGGCCGTGAGGCTGAGCAGTGCCAGGGGCTGGAGCTGGACTGGGAGGTGCAGACGCATTGGAGGAAACAACCGTAATACTAACAGCCACTGTCTGCAACAGGAGAGGCTGGCCTTGCTTGTACCACAGCATCCTCACCGCAACTGGCACAGCACAGTAGGTGTTCTCATTTCTTCATTTTACAGATTAGAGAATGGAAGCTTACAGAGCAAAAATGACACATCTAAGACTGCACAACCTACAAGTGGGGGAATCAGGATTTGAATTCATGCCTGCCTGACCCCAAAGATTTGGGACAGAGAGCAGTGCTGAAAGCTGGGGGGT